GTGAAGCATCTAGCTGCACCCTTGACCTCTGACCTCTGACCCACCCCCTCCCCAAACTGTGACAACCTCCAGATGCTGCCAGGTGTCCCCTGAAGGACAATCCCTTCCCCAGTAAGTGCCACCAGCCACCTGCTGAGTTGGTCATCCTGCTCAGGCATTCACTGTGTGGCTCACCTGTCCTCGCCCATGTTTCTACACCATGGGTCAAGGCTTGGTGCATAATGAGCTCCTTTTCCACCTGAAAAGCTGGCTCCCCGGCCTCTGCTTTGCATTTCTTCAGCCAGGAGAAGCTGTCAAGACTGGGTATGGGGAGGACACTTGCAATCCTGGAACTCGAGAGGCTGAGGCAGGAGCATCACAAACTCAAGGCCAGCCAGGTCTACTCAGAAGCAACCAGTAATGTTCAGCAGCTGTTGTAAATCCCATGGTCTGCAGTGGAGTCCATGGGGACCTTAGCTTTTGAGAGCTGTGACTCCATCTGTCTTCCCTTCCTCTGGATTCCTGGGAATTGAATCCTGGGAGCACATAGTGGGAGCTCTATGGTGGCTGTGTGATGTTATTATCTTGACTCCTTGTTTCTGCTTCTCTCCAGTCCTCCTGGTTTCTGGTTTTCACTCTTTCACGTTGCTTGTTTTGGAATGTGTGTACATATTATGTGAGGGTGTGCACATGTGTGAGCATGCATGCATACATCCATGGAGGTCAACCTCAGTTGGCCTTCCTCGGGACTGTTGCCTTATTTTTGAAGCATGGCCTCTCACTTGCTGGTTAGCCTAGGCTGGCCGGCCAGCCAGTGAGGCCCAGAAATCTGCCATCTCCCCAGCGCTGAGACTACAAGTACATAACACCATGTCTGGCTTCTGTGGGTTCTGGGAATTTAACATGGACCCACACACTTGCATGGAAACTTTCTGACTGAACCATTTCACCACCCCACCCAACCCCGACTCCCCACCCAGAATTTCCCAAACCCCAGGAATTCATCTGCCTAGATTTGTGCCTGAGCTAAAGTGACTTAGTAAAGTTGGGCATCTATTTGCCTACGCCCCTGGCCTGGTTCACACCATAGTATATTCTCTGGGGCTTGACCTTTTTCTACCAGGTTTTGCCTGGATGCTAAACATGGCCCAAGGGACATCCCCAAGGCTGGTTTCAGCTTCCATTAGCACTGAGGAGTGCTTCTTTGTTAGAGCACTAGAATGAAGTGTTAAGAAGTGTGCGGTGTGGGATGCATAGGCCAGTCCAGCCCCCAAGACTCAACCCTACACTTTGAAGTGTGCTGACCCTGCAGTGGTCACTTTGACAGAATGTGTCTCCTCTTAGCCCATCCTTGCCTAATCTGAGGCCTGATCCTAGAGATAGACCATCATAACTGGCTTTGACCCAGCTCTCCCTGTCAGCGCCTGAGGGATCTAAGGGAACTTTCTTCTGTGGCTGGGTTCTAAGAGCTGTCCCTCCAAAGGGTGGAAGAGTGAGGCTGTGGCTCTGTGCCACACTCCATTCCCAGAACTTTGCCAATAGTTAACCATGACATCCTCACCAAAGCCCTCAGAAGCGGCTGCCACCGACTGTGTGTGTCACCATTGGACAGCTGGGGAAAGAGGCAGCAGGGACAAGCAGTGGTGGATCTGGGGAGGAGAACAGGCACCCAGGGAGCTTGCCACAGGCTCTGGCTGGCTCTGCCTGGGCTGCTCAGGAGAGTGCATCGACGGGAGGTGCATATCAGCCATGTGGCTGTGGGATGTTGCCGTTGAATCTGCAGATCCCTGCTGGTGTCACCAGACAAGCTCTCCTGAAGACAGATAGCGGAAGGGTCGACACCACTTTGGAAGCATCCCTGTCCCCTACATTCTTCTAACCCTCCTCACAGTCGAAAGCTAGCTCACGGGAAATACGGTAGAAAGAAAAAATAGCAAAGGCTGTCAGCAGACAGACCCTGACCGTGAGAGTACTGCACAGCACAGGTGGCCTGGTGGCTTCCGTGTGTCAGCTGTCCATACAAGAAAAGACGGTGTGGCCAGTCCCATGTGAGGGTAAGGTATCCTGCATATCTGATATTTACATTACGATTTGTAACAGTAGAAAATTACCATGGGGGGAATTCACCACAACCTGAGAAGCCATGTTAAAGAGTCACAGTATTAGAAAGGTTGAGAGCCACTGGCTTAGGGGGTAAGGGCACTTGCTGCAAGCCTGACTACATGAGTTCAATCCCCAGGGCCTACGTGGTGGAAGAACTGAGTCCTGCAAGTTGCCCTCTGACCTCCACACACTCACCCTGGCAGACAAGCCCCTGTCTCACACGCACGTGCACACAAAACACATGGATAAGAGGTCATTCTAAAAGCTACGGGAAACAACTGTAGATTTGGGTGTGGTCATAAAAACTGTCCATATTTGTAATGTCAGCCCGAGGTTTCGGGTGTGATCTTTAGAACATGCTTCAGCAGGGAGAGAATGAGGCAGGAAGCTCCTAAGAGATGCGTGTCCTGAACCATGCTGAACAGCGTATGTTTATAAGGCGAGAGCAATTGAAGGATCCCCTGTGCCGACCTCTGGCCTCCACAGGAGCTCACATTGTGTGGGGACCCACAGCTCCTCATCTGTTTGAAAGTTCGTGAATGAATCTCCCGACCCTCATCCTGAAACCCCACTTTCAAAAAACGGAAGGGGGTGAAGAAAGACAAACACAGACAAACATAAAACGTCACCACGAATGCTCATAAAAGGGACCAGTCTCCGAGCAAGCATAAAAGTATTTCAAAAGACCAGAAACCACAGCGTGATCCCTTCCGATTTAAGCTAAGGGTGTGACTCTGAAGGCACGAGGGGAGCAGGCATAATCCTGGTGATGGCCCCCTGTGCCCTGCTCCGGCCCTCAGACAGAACCCCACAGGCTCTAGTGAGCGAGCACAGCCACCTGAGCCTTGGAACCCAGGCTGAGTGTCACAGCTGTGTGAGGTTCCCAGGACCATACTGTGCTTCCCTGAGAGATGTACAAACCGGTGTAAAGGGGCCTTCATCATCGTTCAGGGACAGGGACCTAGCTCGGAGGTAGACTAGCTGGGATGCTACATGGCAATGAAAAGAACCGTTAGCGCTTTGTGCTGTGACCTAGAATGAACACTGAGGTATTTCTAATTTTTTGTTTGTTTGTTTATGTGGGTTTGGTTCGGTTTTTTTGAGACAGGGTTTCTCTATGTAGTTCTGGCTGTCCTGTAACTCACGCTGTACACCAGACTGGCCTCAAACTCAAGAGATTCACCAGGCTCTGCCTCCTGAGTGCTGGGAGTAAACGCATGCACCACCAAAGTATTTAATAAGCTAACACCAAAGTATTTAATAAGCCAGATGAAAACACAGTCTCAGGAAAACGTAAGCTTAAATAGCATGGATAAAATGCATTCCTATCAGGTGCGTATCTGTAATCCCAGCACTCAGACAGCTGAGGCAGGAGGATCACCAGTGTGAGGCTAGCCTGGCTTTTTGTCTAGAAAAGCCTAAATAGCAACATCTTTGTGGGCCATGTATGCTTTGTGTGTTTGTGAAAGGGAAAATGCTTATTGGGGTTTATCACATCAGCTGTGGGACATAGGTACCATATGGAAAATGAAAACGTTTTAAAGTATTCTGAGACACTGTTGAGGTAATCAAAATTGTGTCTTAGGGAAAAGGGCTGGGGATGTGACTCGGCTGGTAGAATGTTTGCCTAGCGTGCATCAAGCCCTGCGCTCCATCCCCAGCGCTGAGTAACCAGGCTTGGTGCTGTATCCCTCTTGCCCTCGCACTTGAGAGGTCAGGGTGAGGTCAGCCTGAGCTACATGAGATGGGGTGGGAAGGCGCAGGGAAAACAACTCCTGACTCATCCCACAGAGGCCTGGGCTCTGTTGTCTGCACCCACTGTGTGTCCACGCCCCAGATGCAGGGTCCCGGCAGAGCTGGGATAGCAGACCCCACTCTGGATTGTCACTGCAAGAGTAGGGGCCTTGTAGGTGGGCTCTGCCACCGCATCCCCTATGCCTGGAGCGGTGCCTGCTCCCTCTCCCTGTTGCAGCTCTGGGCATGCTTAGTCCCCTTTCCCGTGCTCAGAACCAAGCCAGGCACGCCAGGCAGAGGTTGTAACGGAAGCAGCTTCTCAAGCCATGCAGGCCGCTGCGGCCTCTTGTGGGGGGGCAGTAGCATCTATCCTTGTGTACTTCTGCATGGAGCCCCACAGACAGAACGCCAGCCCGGGTTCTCAAATGAGATGCCCGGAGGACCTGGGCAGGTGATGTTAATCAAGGTAGTGTCTGGGGAGGTGATAAAAGCTGTGACCAGTGCTGTTTGGCACATGTAACAAGCACACAATAAATACTGGTTGGATGAGTGCCTTTATTCACGGAGTTCATTCATTTATCATGCCACAAATATTTATGAAAACCACTACTAAAATCCCTGTAGGAGATTTGAGGACTAGCGGGGGACCTTTTAAAAAGACAAAAATCCCTGCTATTAGAAGGCTTAAAGTGTGGTGGGGGAGGCTGATGGAAATTAAATCACACACACACACACACACACACACACGCACACGCACACGCACACGCACACTGAGTGGTGTTTCAAGGGCAGGAATGGAGACCCATTCAGGACTGGGGCAAACGTAAGAGAGCTGAGGCCTCTGAGAGCGAACTACAGGGAATGGTGTTGCTCATGCAAAAGCCTTCTTAGGAGAGGGAGCACGACAAGGCCTGACAAGGAGATGCCACACTAAGGCTGCTTCAAAGGTCCACTCCAAAGCAAGAGCAGGAAGCAACCTGAGGTCACACAAGGACAGCAAGGGGAGCTAAGGGCTGTCACAGATAAGGCACTGGAGGGATGCCAGAGTGGCCCCGGGGAGATGGGTGTGGAGGCCACAGCAGCATTCCGGGGCAGAGGAGGTGGTGGCCAGGAACTAAGTGGTGGCCATGGGAGTGAACTTTGCAGGACCTGGTGAAGGATGAGACTTGAGAGCTCTGGGGCAGGGGAGAAGACAGTTTCCTGTGTGAGCACCTGTCCCCATCACAGGGGCATGGGGCCCAGGCTGTTAGAGATCAGCAGGCACTTTTGTGCTTGAAGTCAAATGGGGATGAGGCAGCCAGGAAGGCTGTTTGGATCACAGCTGTCTACCCAGAAGCCAGAGATTGCTGTCAACAGGCTTCGATTTCAAGCCCTCCACGGATGGGGAGTGTCGGCCTTCTCCAAAGCCCGCCTGGCCTGTCTGTCCTCTCTCCTTCTCCCAGGGTGGGCCCCTGTGCTCAGCCAAGGTAGCCCTGTGCTAGGAAAGGTGAGTGGACCCACCGCCTGGGACCCTCCATCTGCTTTTGATCTTTGCCACCCTTTGAAGTCACCCCGCCCCCAGCTCCAGCTGTCAGCTCTGCTCCTGGGCAGCCCTGGCTCCCCACCTCAGCCCCTGGGGACCTGGGTGGTGACAAGGGTAATAAATGGAGCACCGGCAGACAGCAGCAGCAGCAGCCCCTCCCTCAGAAGACCGAGAGGCAGGGCCATTGAAGGCTTTTTCCTGCTGGTTCCAGAATCAGTTCTGAAGGTGGGGGCAGCATAGTATCCAGTCGTGCACACAGGGAAAAGGTTTCTGTTTGGGGGTGGGATTTTGCAAATGCCTTCCACAGGTGTGCTCTCTTTCAGGCCTGTCTGTGTACAGGCTGTCCTCCCACCCCTGCAGAGAGAGGAGCTGCTGCCCTGAGCAGGCCTGTGGGGGAGCAGCCTGGGAGGGAAGATACCCCCCCCAGATTGTGGTGCTCAGCTCTGTCCTTCAAACTGTAGAAAAACCAGTGGCTTCTGGCAATGACTGTCTCAAACCCCATTGCCCCCCCCCCCTCAGTGAACCCCATGGTGTGTTTAAGGCCTTAATCATGTGACACAGACTGTGTCCTGAGCTACCCTTGGGAGCTCACTCTCTGGCACGAGCTTTCTCTGATTAAATCCTCAGAATAATCTGACAGCCTAGAAGATTCTATTAGTTCTTCATCCACATAGCTGAAGCTCAAGAGGTTTTGATTGCTTGTCCCAGATCATACAGAGGGGGTAGCTGAGGGGGTAGCTGAGGGGTAGCTGAGGAGGTAGCTGAGGGGGTAGCTGAGGGGGTAGCTGAGGGGTAGCTGAGGGGTAGCTGAGGGGGTAGCTGAGGGGTAGCTGAGGGGGTAGCTGAGGGGATAGCTGAGGGGGTAGCTGAGGGGGTAGCTGAGGGGTAGCTGAGGGGGTAGCTGAGGGGGTAGCTGAGGGGTAGCTGAGGGGGTAGCTGAGGGGGTAGCTGAGGGGGTAGCTGAGGGGTAGCTGAGGGAGTAGCTGAGGTCAGCCCCTGTAAGAAGATGACAAATCTGGGACTCTGGGTTAGGGAATAGATTTTATAGTAAACTGGGACCTGGGTCTATTATCTCTCTCTCTCTCTCTCTCTCTCTCTCTCTCTCTCTCTCTCTCTCTCTCTCTCTCTCTCTCTCTCTCTCTCTCTCTCTTTGTATGTGTGTTTCTGTATGTCTGTGCGTCTGTATGTAGACATGAATGGGTGTCTGTGTGTTACGTGTGCACTTGTGCAGGTGTGTGCACCTGTGTCATGCTCACACAGAGGTCAGAGAAGCATGCTAGACGGCCTGCTCTATCATTCTCCCTCTGTCTTTCTCCTTTGAGACAGGGTCTCTCCATGGGTCTGGCAGTAGGCTGAAAGCAAATCCCAGCAGCCCATGTGCCCCTCATAGCACCGGGGTTACAGGCTAACAGGGCCACACCTGCCCTTTCACGTGGGTGTCAGGATCTGAACTGAGGCCCTCATGCTTGCACAGCCAAGCTCTCTTACTCCCTGAGGTGTCCTCCCGGCCCCAAAGCTCCGCCCAGTCTCCTTGCACACTGTGGTCCGTAGTTCACACCCTGGACTCAGACTCAGAGTGAATGAGTCCTGGTTCTCTCACTAAGAGACCAGGTCACTGTGAACCTTGGTCTCCTCATCTCTGCCTGCTTCATAGGATGACACAAGATGACACTAGACAAGAGTCTTTAGCCCCAGAGTGAACACTCTTTGTTTTTTTGTTTTTCTTTTGTTGTTGCTTTTGGTTTTTCAAGACAGGGTTTCTCTGTAGCTTTGGAGGCTGTCCTGGAACTCACTCTGTAGACCAGGCTGGCCTCTAACTCACAGAGATCTGCCTGCCTCTGCCTCCTGAGTGCTGGGATTAAAGGTGTGCGCCACCACCACCCTTCGTGAACACTCTTTAAGTGGAAGATTTATTAATTTCTATTTTCTCTAAAATGAGAACATAGCCAGGCTAAGCTCTTTGAATGCCTCAAGACACCAAAGAGATCTGTCTTCCTCCTCCTCTGCCCCAGTAAGTCAGTAACAAAACCACAGCTCACAAAACACAAACTCGCCATGCCAAGCCACCACAGAACAGGAAATGCTTAGCCAGCAGGAATGACTCATGAATTGCCAGTGCCTGGGCTTGGCTCAGACCTGAACCTGGATTTATCACTTATTGGGAAACATGGGGAAGGTACTTTCAGCCCCTGGATCACTGGGAGCACTGGAGGAACAGATCCAGGAGCACTGGAGGAACAGATCCAGGCAATTGCCTGGTATGTGATGGCTCTTGCCATCTAAGAGCTGCAAACTCCCAGAGTTCGTGTCAAACCGTCTGTCTGCATGGGAGCCTGGAGCTGGAGAGGGCAGTGGGAAAGGCCAGCTGTCAATCAGTAGACTCGCAGTCTCATCACCTTGTGAAGGCCAACATCGCTACTACTGCGGAGGCAGGTTATGCCACCCGCTTGTCTGTCTCCAAACCACGGCATGTTTGAATTGCTCAGAGGTGCTATAGTTTGGGTGCCTTGCATTGCCTGGCAGGGAATCAGGCTCAGTCAACTGTGCTTATTCCTTTTTAAATCTTCTCTTTCTTTCTCTTTTAAAGTGTGTGTGTGTGTGTGTGTGTGTGTGTGTGTGTGTGTGTGTGTGTGTGCTCACTCGCTCTGTCAAGGAGCTTGGGTGGAGGTCAGAGGACTTGGGAGTTGGTCCTTAATCTCCCACCTTGTTTGAAACAGGCCTTGTGTTCACTGCTTCATACCCCAGGCTAGCTGATGGGGAAGCCTCTCCTGTCTCTACCCATGTCACGATGTAGGAGCCCTGGGATTAGAGATATGTCCACCTTTACGTGGGCTCCGGGGATCTGAACTCAGGCCCTCACGCTTCTGTAGCAGATGCTTTTCCCACTGCGCTGTCTCGGCAGCCCCTGTCCTTACTGCTTTTTACCCTGTGTCTGAGTTTTAGGTCATGAGTTGTCTAGCAGAGGTCTTGACTCAGCTACTGAGCCAGTTCTCAGGAAATGAACCTGGAAAGGACTCGTCTTTAAAGTATCACACCCTGATTGATAGATTCTTTTGCAGACTATATATGGTCCCCTAAGTCTGTTGCTGTGGTTTTTATTTTAAAGTCTGTCTGGAATTATTCCAGCTTTCCTAGTGTTTATATCATGTGGATTTCCTCAAATATTATTTTTTTTGCCTGCAATTTGCTATTCCAATGGCGTGTCTTGCAATGTTTTCAAGTTCTCTAGCTTTATCTTTAAAAATGGTCTCATACAAAGCATGTCAGCTTTAAAAGTCTGATCTGATAATCTTTGTTGTTACTGTTATTTCCATTGGGAGCATATGCCAAAGGGCACGTGTGGAGGCCAGGGGACAACTTTGTGGGGTTGTCTCCACCCCTTTACATGCATCCAGGGATTGAACTCAGGTCAGCAGGCTTGCACTGTCAAGCACATTTACCCACTGAGCCATCCCACCAGCCCAACCCTTGTCTTGTAACTGGAAGGTTTATCCTGCTTATATTTATACTACTATAAAAGACTGCAAATGGGCAGTAAATGGTTACATCCATTTTCATTCTTTAAGTGACTACTGTAAAAACTCATAATATGGACCCCTGGTGGTTCTTGATGTTGATAATTAGCACATGTACCTTTTCTAGACAAGCCAGACTGAACATGTTGGTCCCTGGCCACTCACACATTTGCCCTTTTATGTTGCTGGGTATCCTTGCTGAATTGTCATGCTTCCACAAAATGACATTTGGTACTGTAGGTCTACTGATGGTAAAAAAAAAAAAAGAACACAACTCTTGCTTCATTTTTATTTGGTTTTCATTTGTGTATGAGCTGAGTGAGTATGTATACATACGGATACACTCCCTTGTCTGTGCACATGGAAGATGCCTTCCTCCATGGCTCTCTCCTTTAATCTTTGAGATAAGACCACTTACTGAACCTGGAGCTTTCTATTTGGACTGCACTGGCTGCCCATCAAGCTTGTCCCTGCACCCCCACACTACAGGTGTGGGCCGTCTTCTTACTCCTGGTTCTTACACAGTGCTGGAGACTGGGCACCATCCCTTGTAACATGAATAAACAAAAGACCCAGAGACTGATATTGGGGTTCAAGCTAAATGTCAGAAAAGCAAAGCAGCCGGCCACTAGCTTCTTACCTCTACCTCAGCCTGAATGGGCTGGTCGTGTCTCCACAATCTCTCACCAAGCCTCAGACTGTTACCTTTCTTCAGCTTGGCTGGAGAATGAATGCCTCTCTGAGACTTGCTTCTGTCTTACATACTTCCCTAATGTTGGGATTAAAGCTGTGAGCTATAATTCTCTTTTAGATTGATTCAATCTTGGGTAGATCTGGGTGACCTTGGACTCACAGAGATCCATCTATCTCTTAATCCCGAGTCCTAGGATTAAAGGTGTGAACCACCACTCCCTAGCTTCTGGCTGCTGGGATTAAAGGTGTATGCCTGGCTTCTATGGCTTGTGGCTGACTTTGCTTTCTGAATCCTCAGGCAGGCTTTAATAAATCATAAATAATATATCACTATAGTCACTCATGCCTGCACAGTGCTGGAGACTAACATCAGTCCCTCATGCCTGTATGGAGAACATTCTACCCACTGAGAAAGCTCCCCAGACCCTTATCATCATTTTTTAAACAGTTTTCTTTTTCTTCACTGGCATGGAATTCCATATTGAGATATAGATTTAGTCATAAGTCTTTATTCTATTTAGAGAATATGTTTCAGTTATTCTTATCATTCTTTCTTTAAATAGAATCTATCTTTTATCCCTCCTGCTCTGAGTCAGGGATGAGCAGCTCAACTATTCCAAACCCAGGCATGACCTGCTCTGTGTAGACCCTGCATGTTTCTACCGAACTTCTTAATTCTGTCATCCATGTCCTTAATGCATCTGTGACAGTCGTATGTCAGTTTCCCTTAAAGCATCGTGCTTTACTTCTCCCTTC